GTGTCTGTAATCCCAGCTACTCGGGCGGCTGTGGCAGGAGAATCACTTGAATCCAGGAGGCAGAGGTTGCAGTGAGCCAAGATCCTGCCATTGCATGCCAGCCTGGGCAACAGAGAGAAACTCCATCCCCTAAAAATAAAAATAAAAAGCTCATCATAAAAGGTCAACAAATGATCAAATACAGAAACATGTATTGTTGCACTTTTTATTTGTAGCTTGACTTTTAATTCTTTCCTACAATTTAAAAGACACAATCAGGCCAGGTACAGTGGCTCATGCCTGTAATTCCAGCACTTTGGGAGGCCAAGGCAGGTGGATCACTTGAGGTCAGGAATTGGAGAGCAGCCTGGCAAACATGGAAAAAACCTGTCTCTACTAAAAATACAAAAATTAGCTGGGGATGGAGATGGGTGCCTGTAATCCCAGCTACTCAGGAGGCTGAGGCAGGAGAATCACTTGGACCAGGGAGGCAGAGGCTGTAATGAGCCGAGATCAGCCTGGGAGATAGAAGGAGACTCCATCTCAAAAAAAAAAAAAAGAAACCACTCTCATTTAAACAGCATTAAAAACATATGTTAATGGGAACATAAAATATATAGGATTAATTTCTGCCAGTAATAACAGAAAGCGAGAACACAGTTGTTAAGCAGAGCTTTGGGTACCAAATCAAAGATAAGCTGTTAACATTTAAAATAGAATGTTTTGGGCTGGGTGAAGTGGCTCACACCTGTAATCCCAAGCACTTTGGGAGGCTAAGGGAGGATAATCACATAAGGCCAGGAGTTCGAGACCAGCCTGCCCAACATGGAAAAATCCCATCTCTATTCAAAGTACAAAAATTAGCCAGGCGTGGTGGTGCACGGCTGTAATCCCAGCTACTCTGGAGGTGGAGGCATGTAATGTTGAAATTAACAAAAGAAAAAAAATGTATTTTTTTTTTTTTGAGACAGGGTCTCACTCCATCACCCAAGCCAGGGTGCAATGGTGTAATCTTGGCTCACTGCAACCTCTGCCTCCTGGATTCCAGCGATTCTCCTGCCTGAGCCTCCTGAGTAGCTGGGATTACAGGCACCTGCCACCACACCCAGTTGATTTTTGTTATTTTAGCAGAGGCAGCGTTTCACCATATTGGCCAGACTGGTCTTGAACTCCTAGCCTTAAGTGATCTGCCTGCCTCGGCCTCCCAAAGTGCTGGGATTACAGGCATGAGACACCGTGCCCAGACAAAAGAAGAAAAATTTAAAGATCCACAAATATGTGTCAATTAAACAACACACTTTGCTGGTTACAGTGGCTCACACCTATAATCCCAACACTTTCGGAAGCTGAGGCAGGCAGACTGCTTGAGCCCAGGAGTTCAAGACCAGCCTGGGTAACATGGTGAAACCCCATCTCCACAGAAAATACAAAAAATTAGCCAGGCATGGTGGCGTACACCTGTAGTCCCAGCTATTCAGGAGGCTGAGGTGGGAGAATCACTTAAGCCCAGGAAGTCCAGGATGCAGCAAGCCGTAATCGCGCCACTACACTCTGGCCTGGGCGACCCAAGAGAGATCCTATCTCCAAGAAGAAATAGGAAAATAAAGAAAAATATCTGTTCAGAACTCACAAGATTTCAACTTTTGTTTTCTCACAGAATTCTCCCATTTGCAGGGAGTTTCCCAAATACTATGTAATAGGGTGGCTTTGCAGGGCACAGTGGCTCATGGCTGTAATCCCAACACTTTGGAAGAGCAAGCCAGGGGGATCCCTTAAGTCCAGGACTTCAAGGCTGCAGTGAGCTATGATTGCCACTGCTCTAGTGTGGATGACAGAGTGAGACCCTGTCTCAAAAAATAAAAAATATGGGGCCTCCACTCTGCCCACCCGAGCTCTCACCTGTGTTCACACCTTTGATGCATTCCCTGCCATCTGGATTGTTTGCTATTTTCTCTTCACTCTGCAGAATCCAGGGATCTTTCTTTTGCTCTAACGTGGAGATAACACTCAGGTCAGGCAGACAGATTCCTATTTACAAAAGAAAGAATAAATGTGTGCTGTGGCATCTCCCAAGTCCAAGCTCTATATTTAGGGAGGAGAGAGGATATTACTATCAAGTCAAAAATAGTATTTAGGCCGGGCACGGTGGCTCAAGCCTGTAATCCCAGCACTTTGGGAGGCCGAGACAGGCAGATCACAAGGTCAGGAGATCGAGACCATCCTGGCTAACACGGTGAAACCCCGTCTCTACTAAAAAAAATACAAAAAAAACTAGCCGGGACTACTAGCGGGCGCCTGTAGTCCCAGCTACTCAGGAGGCTGAGGCAGGAGAATGGCG